TTTTACACTGTGGTATTTCTATTTCAGGTTCTGAATACTTCTACCACTGAATACATTGTATAATGAGTTTGGACTATAAGCAGAATAAAACATGCAACAGAATTTGGGTAAAGTACTTTTTTTTATGTACAATTCTGCATGCAAGATTATATTGGTTATTCACTACTTTGGAGACAGGTGAGTAATCCATGTTATAAGTGACTGAAAACCCCATTTTGGATAGATTCAGTAACAGCAGTACTGCGTGTTCACCTGCGTGGACTTCTTCCTGTGCCGCTGAACAGCTTTTGTTTTTGGCTTCCAAGTATGTTTGCTCGAAACTGGGAAAGTCGCCCAGTCTCCGGTAGGTTGAACCACACCTGGGGGCCATTAGGCGGGGAGAACTCAACCACAGCACTGCGGTAAAAAAAAGAAGCCATACATCCTCGTCGGTGAAGAAGCTGTCCAGTGTTTTTAATATAGTGATTGTTTTATATTCAGAGTTCACAGTGTTCTTTGTTCAAGCTAGCGATACGTGAACGTTAGCTAGCTGCTTCCGGAAACCAACCTTCACACAGGTAAGGAGAGTTTCGGTCTCCACTTGAGCCAATTCTGTCCCGTTTATATGTAACCAGACAATCACGGCTGCGTTAACATGTAATATGTGTTTAATGGTTGAATACAGACGTATTAAGAGGCACACATTCACTCATTAAAGTGAGTTATTGTGCTCAAGGTGTGTAGCAGTTAGCGCTGTCTCAGCAGGTTACGAGCTGAAGGTGAAGCCATGTTAACGGCTGTTTTAACCGTGGACCAGATAGATACCTGTGAAGGCTAACCGTCGATACCTCTTCTGTCATCTGGATCTGTCACATCGTGCTCGAGTGATTAGGACCAAACCAGCAGTCGTGAGCTGACAGGGGGAGAGAGAGGGGGGAGAGCAGTGAGTTATTTATGGTCCCAGTGACAACACACACATCCAGGCAAAGTGATTACAAATGTCCTTGTTGCTGTTATTGAGTGCCCCCCCCATGTACTGAAGGGTATCTCTGTAGAGTACCTGGACATAATCCATTTAAATGGTTACAGTCAGTGATGGGGAGCAAAGTACATTTACACAAGTGTACTTTAAGCATTTCTATTCAAGGTTACTTCATACATATCTGGAAACAGGTTTTACTTTGGTTGTCAGAATGCTGTAGTTACTGATGGCATGTTTAACATATCAGTTTATAAATATGATCTGTATTGATCGCGTGATGGGGAAAGTAATAAAGGTATACAAACTGAGTACTTAAAGACAAAGTTAGATGGCAACAGTGGTGTGATGTGACTAATAACAGAAAAGTCCTTTAATGTTTAACAGCACACATACAATTATGGTGATGTAATGATAATCAGGGTGTGTATTAATATGGAAATATACAGCACACACACAAAAGCAAGAGTCATATTTTTCTACCAGCTTTAATTTGGCAATGCCGCTTACATGTTCGTGCTTATTCAAGGAGACAGTCATACCTAGTTTTTACTTTCGTATTGGGGTAGCTTAAAAATAGACACAAATGTTAAAATTGGCCACATCTATTGAGATTATGTGCAGTTACTTCAAAGATCAGTCTTCAAACAGAAGGCTTTTTGTACTTGAGTTTGACAAGTGCAATCTGTACTATTTTAGTCAAGTGTCATCACTATCTTTAGACTTTATATTAAAGTCTGTCCTCAGGGAGATTCTGAACTCAGAATGCTTGCAACAGTACTATGATATTCAAGTTTAAATAACTACCGTCTCGCAAGCAACATGGGAATTTAAAGCACATTTATGCATGTGCATGTGCATGTGAGGTCCAAGCCGGCTAGACAAAAGAGGAGAGACCACACATGAGTTGTAACTAAAGTTTATTTTAAATAACAGGGAAATTTGTGTAAAGAAACTAAATGTAACAGTACAGAGTGGAAACCAGAGGGAGAGAGACCGACTGCCACCAGTTTATGTTGTTCTCAGTCCCTTAAAACCAACTTCAGGTTATCCACCCTCAGATATCTGCAACCTTGGTATCGGAGGAAGCATCTTTAGACGAGAGAGGGGGACAATCATGGTTATAGTGGGTGTGGTTAAAGGCAAAGCAAAACCATACATGTGGGGCCAGCCACACGACACTACCAAACCTGATATAAAACAAATCTAAAATCATCTGACATACTGCCAACTATACAAGCCCAACCCTCGTCTTCAGGTAGTTATTGATAGGTGGGCTCTTATTCACTGGAAACCAGTGTGTTCAGAATGTCCCTGCAGTGCAGTTACCACCAGAAAGCCACCGACATGATCCAGAGCATACAGCTGTACCTGCTTTTACTGCCACTTTAGGAGATCAAGTCAACAAACTAAATGGGGGAGAACATCAGTAACCAAAAAAAAGACACAAAATGCACAATTGAGTAACGTTTTAACAAAAAGACTCAAGGACAAGAGTGGAATATTGCTCTGCCTCGTAAGAAACAAAAACTCATGATACGCCCCACATTTGCATTTTAAAGTAGGCACAGTCTGCAATTTGGAGCCCACATCTCTACATGCAAGTTACCAAACCCCCATAGTCACAGGAGGTAGCACCACCACAAACCACAGCAATCCAAATTACCACACAGCCTGGACTCCATCTTACCAAAGTGGTTCATTTGATCCCAAAACGACCCTCCAATTTGTCACAACCCAGCTCAAGGCTGGACAAAGGAGGGGAGACCGCACATGAGTTGTAACTAAAAAGACGTGTAGTTTACAGAGCTTAGTGTGGCGATAAACTACATGTAACAAAACAAGCCAGGGGTGGAGAACGATTGACCAACTGCCACCAGCTTTTATAGTTTTGCAGCCAGACCAGGTGCGCTGCAGCTCCCTGATGACCCGACTCCTCCAACCAGGCTCCTGCAGGGAGAGAGGGTCATGAATACGAAGGTAACATCCATGGCTGATGATAAGTTAATACCATGGGTGGTGTTTGTTTTGGTATGTGCAGGCGAGACACTCATACCAGACCACGCGTGAGTGCAGCGAGGCTGACAATCCAACTGGTTTGGTTGTGTGAAAGTACAAACTGGTGTGAAGTTGGGAGTTGAAAAGACTTTGGAGAATAAAGGTTTTAATGTCACATGAGGATTTGCGTTGTTGAGGATTCCCTGCATACAGATAGATACACAATGCAAATATTGTTCTTTGTATTCAAAGCAGGATACTTTGCATGTTGTTTCTACACCAGTTACATAATGTTCAAGCAGCGCTCTAAATAGATGGTATTTTATTTTAATTACTAATTAGAGAAAATATCCATGTAACTTTAATGTAATGTTTAATTGATGCCATAAAAGTTTAATCTTAGACGTGTTGGAGCTCTTCACTTGATTATGTCATACTCAAACACTGATGATTAACTGTCATTCACCTCTGGGCAGCAATTTGATTCATTCTCCCTTTTATGTTTTCTGTATTTATTTACAGTGTGTTGGTTAGTACCAGACGTTGGTGTAAGACAGAGGGAGACGAGACACGCCTCCCTGTCTCAATTATTTGTCTAGCAAGGTTTCACCTGCGTTCGCTGAGGGTGTGGCGGACCGCACATGTGACTGAACCATATCGACGATCAAAGCGAGTGATTTTGGCTCAGCTTCGAGGGAACTGCCCCCTCTTGTAATCCTCTGGGAGACTGGAGGACACTGTAGGGCCACGGACATTTCCCGCTCAGGCTGTCACATGATTACAAGGCATTTTGAGGCATTAAGGCTGGTCGTATTGAGCGGCTTTGGTTTTCTCTAAACCTGTAAAAACATATTTCTACTGCCTATTGTGAAGCTGTCTTGTGTTGGTTTCACACACATGAACTTTAACAATAGTCTAAAATGTTTCTTTCAGTGTGGGATTCCTTTGAAATCATTTTCTCGCCTCAGGTTAGGGATTAGGATTAAACTAGGTACATGTACTTGTGATGTTGAGGTAGATTAATGGTGATATAGAGACAGACTTTCTTAGGGAAACTCAAGACTAGAGAATTTTTCTTGAAGCAGTAGATGACTTATGACTGAAAAATGTCCTGTGGAGATGTCCTCAGATTGCCTTTTTTCTCTGACCAACAGTTCAAAACCCAAAGATATTAGGTTTAGAGCTGCAACACTTACTTTCCATTAATTTGCTCTATTAATCGTTTGACCTATAGAATTTCCAAAAATGGTGAAACAATGCCCATGACAATTTACCCAGACCAAGGGTCCAAAACCTAAAAGTAGTCACTTGATATAAAACAGAGAAAAGCAGCAACGATTGCATATAAAAGGCTGTCAACGATAAATCAACTAATCGATTCACTGAATCGATCGACTTATCCGAGTCTCCATGTCACGAGGAGGATCTGAAGAAAGACGAGCACCGTTTCTTGATGCCATGCCGTATCCTTGAGAAACACGGAGATATTTACTGCTGTGGAAGTGGTGGACGGTGATAGATGGCCTCAGAGACGGCCATCTTCAGACCCGGTAAGCAGGAGGGTACCGGTCATCTCCAGGGTCGCTGTATGTCTTCCTGTGAAGATGACCTCTGCTCTAATGAAGACATGCTTCATCCTCAGTGGAACCCGTCGGGTGCTCTCTGTGACTCCCAGCTAGTGCACGCCACTTTATCCCAGAGCAAATAATACACCTTGGGTATACATTCTTGCACCACATCATTTGATTTCCAAATAAATGGAACACAGCCTGGTTTCTACTGTGCTTCCCTCTCTCTGGGCTACAGGATCCATGAGCCCCTATCCATTACAGGACAAGGTATCACTTGTACAAAGAGGGAAAGAAGACCTGTGTGATCTCCGCCAGTGTGCACGTATGTTGAGAGGTGTGCGCACACACGCGTATATTTCCAGATGGTGTGTTGTGTGTTTGCATGCAATCAGTCGTCGAGCTACTGAGAGCACTTTACCTGTAGTAGTGCAACATCAGCAGTCTGAGCACCCCCCCCCCCAACATACACCCAAACAGTCACACGTACACACACTTTCCTTTCACTCTGCCTAGTTACACCAATCCCCCACTGCATTACTTACACCAATCCCCCACTGCATTACTTACACCGGTGCAGTCAGAGCTCGTACACATCCATGCTCATGCACACAAATATGTGTCCGCACACACACACACACACACGGACATTATTCTGACGGTGTGCTGCTGGAGAGGCAGGGCTCTGGTTTCATTCAGGCTTCAGGCAGCTGTGAGGTTAGAGTCTCGTGTTTGCGTGCAGTGGCTACGAGGCGCTTGACAACAAAGGTATCAGCTCGGGTGAGTCGCTCCAAGGCAATATCATTAAAGATAATCTGTCTTTTTGTGACTGAAGTCTTGGACTGGGGTCACATAGAGAGAGGAAACTAAACGTAGTGAGTTCATTGTAGAGGCTTTGTTTTCTTTCTTTTGTATGTGGTAATGTGCAAGAGAATATCTTTCTGTACTCCTTTGTGTTTTTAGGACAAAGTCGTGCATCTCAAGGTGGTGTTTGTTCATTTTTGAACGCATGAAGTCTTCTGAAAATGATGTTTGTGAAAGTGTTCAGCACAAAACTCCTTAGACGTATTAGAGGCACATATAACCTGTCGTACGAAAGCTACTAATTGCAACTAAATGGCACTTTTTGCTTCTAACCATAGTGAGCAGTTAATACATCTACACACACGCTGTTGTATTGGCTGCAATTCATCTTACAAGCTAGTTTTATGAGATCTAACGTAATGTATTTGGTGTAATTTATGATGTGTCAATATATTGGATATATTTGTTCATAATTGTGGCCAAAAGTTTCTCCAAAGAATGTGATGCTAATCAGCTTTCTCCTTATGAGAGAATTAAATGAGATTAGGAGCCGCACAAAGGGATGGAGACTACTGCCGATTGAGAGCAAGGGGTCATTAGTGATGGGGGTTGCATTTCTGCCCAGTTCATTCAAAATTCTTACTGCGGTGTAGTGCCATGCCTTTGTTCCTTCACATTAGCAGGGGTTTGACTTCAGTCAGGTTTTTTCTCTTGCCTCATTTCACAGAGTTTAGCCCTCTCAGTGTGGAGCATGCTGACTTTTAGCTGAGATGAGAATTCCTTTTGTCCCTCAGGAAACTAGCTGAGAGGAAGCAGCTGCAGCTTGCTGCCATATTGCTGCTGCTCTGTGGATTTGTCATTTCCTGTGGAGCTGGCCAGTATGAAGAGGAACAGTCCAACTTCTGCATTAGACCAATCTGTGTTTCTCTCTCAACAGAAAATCAAAATGAAGACATGAAGACTCTGGATCATCGTTTCATTTTCACAGTTTGAATGGATTTTTAGTTCCGGACATGCAGACATAGATGTATGACCAGACACGGTTTTAAGGATATAAGAGGGCGCTGATCATTTCCAGAGAATTTCGGACTGATCTTCTTCAGCCAATGGCTACAACAGAAACCAAAGTCGCAGGCAGCGTTAGCACCGCGGGTCTGTCGTGGGCGCGGGTGTGTAAGGAGTGTGGCCAGCAGCACGAGGGCTTGGACTGCCACCTGTATGAGTACCAGGATGAGGTGGACGATGAACTGGTTTGCCACATCTGCCTGCAGCCCCTCCTCAGACCTATGGACACCCCTTGTGGCCACACGTACTGCTTTCATTGTCTGAGCAACTTCTTGAAAGAGCAGGACTTCTGCCCCGTGGACCGCCTGCGGCTGCAGTTGCATCAATGCCGTCCCTCCAGCCTGCTGGTCAGGAACCTGCTGGACAAGCTGACTGTGATGTGTCCCCACTCCGCAGAGTGTCAGCAGCAGATGCAGCGCTGCGAGCTGCAGCCTCACCTGCACAACAGGTAAGACTCTGACAGGTCATGACGGCAGTTTTAGTGGATATTGGTAAACCTTTACACGGCTGAAATGATCGGTCACGACGATGTGTATGATTTTAGACGGGAATGCTAAATATTATGTCACCGGTCATGTGGTCATTAAGGGAATAGTTTGATATCACTATCATATCTGTTGGTTTGATATGAAGCTACAGCCAGTTAGCGTAGCTCAGCATAAAGGCTGAACACATGGGGAGATGTCTACCTTTGTTTGGCTCTGTCTGCCTACCTCCACCTCTTAAATTCACACAGCCTTTATGTTTAATCCATATATAATTGAAGTGTAAAAATGAAAAATTGCAACTTGCTTAAACTTTTGTATTTAACCCACATACAAAAGCAAAAAAAGCTGACTAGTGTATTTCCCAAATTGTCAAACTATTCCTCAAAGTGGAAGAATGTTACTGTACAGTGTATTAAACTTCTGATACCCCCATATACATATACTGCATGCACGCGTCTCCACTTTAAGGTAAACCTAAGATCTAACTGTCCTCCTCTTCATGCCCTCTCAGGCTGTGTTCTCCTCTTCTTGAAGCTGTGTTCCTGGTAGCTCAGTCCCTCTATTGACGCAGAAACAGCTAATTATTGAGCTCAAGGGGATGTGCGGGTCAGCCGACTTGTTTTTCGCATGGCCGGTGTGGTGCTTATCATCCTGGTGGCCAGCCATGACGCAGGCAGTTGTGGGCGGCAGATAGTCCTGCTGCAGCCTCACTGAGCAAACAATGAGGAGGCAAGGTTCAGGCATGAAGAACAAGCAGCAGTCCCAGCACTCTGACTGAATTAATGAGACTGAACCTGTCTCACCCAGACACACTGCAATGCAGTATAACTGTCCTCATCTGCATTGGGCTTCTCCTCTGAATCCTGTGCATTCTTGTCTCCTCTTTGCCCTCTCAAAACACTTTTAAACCTCCATTTTTGTTTATGTTCATTCATCTCTGGCACATTTAAGAACACCCCCTTCTAATTTCCTCATAAAGGTTGCGTGTTTAAAAATCACTGGTCGATTATCAGCCGTGTCATTCTCTTTACCAGTTTCCTCCATGTTCCTATCTTTCCTCAGATGTCCTGTTTTTAGAAGACTGAGGGAGGAAGCAGAGAAGAGGAAGAGGCCCTCGTGGAACGAGCTAAAGGGGCGTAAGGGTGACGTGGAGTCTTCTGGTGATGCTAAACATTCAACAACACAGTCCCGAAATCCCACCAGAGATCAGCCTGAGCCCGGGCTGATTAATCCTGCCTATGAAGAAAGTGAGGAAGGTATGGAGTCATTTTATGCTACTTACAGCCACCACTGTATCAGCCACTCTCTGTTTTCAGCACAAGAACGAGAACTTTTCTGTTTTCTTTGTACCCACGTACACACAAACCACCACTTCTATGCAAATGATCTGCGATAGGAGGTTGGTAAACTCTTTGACACAGAATAATGTTTATCGAAGTTTCTAGGTTGAATAGAAATAGTGATTGCAGAAAACTTACATCATTGTGCCCGTCGCCTTTCAGCGTGCGTGGGTGTCGAGACACAGACGGGAATTAGTGATGTTTTCAGCCTCGAGGTTCCATCACAGGTGAATCATCAGCCAGGTTGTAGGATCGTGTATTAGCCCACAGATGTGGTAACCAGATGTCTCATCTCCTTCAAAGCATCCTGCAAGCCAGAACCAGGGGCAACATTCCAATCTAACACAGTTGCCAGGCAACTGGTAAACAGTGTCGGCAGAGGAGTTTCCGTTATGTTGTCATAATCTCTGTTTTAATCAGATTACTCCTTTTATGCTGTTAAAATCTGAAAGGAAAATACAACAAGCTTAAACTTTTAAATTGTGCAATGAAGCTTTATGTTCATTGATTGTTGAAATGATATTTTTTATTTAGCATTTAAAATCGCAGCAGGTTGCTTCATTTAGGTTGAGCTATCTCCTGAATTGATGCCGTTGTTCTGTTTGTGGGACTAAAATGATTGGTAGCACTGCGGAGGAGTGAGCTGCAGCATGTCAAATCTTACTGGTCTGAGTGTTCGCTGAGATCAACACCACGGTGGAGATACTTCAGAGAGTTAGAACGATGTCATTGTGATGATTAGAAGTTGAGGTCGATTGTGTTTCACTCTGTTTCCTGTCTAACGTCTCTGTTTACTGTGTACTGTAACAAAAAGTCCCCTCAAGTTCAAAAACTGGTTATTGGTCCACTCAGCATTGTGTAATTGTGTGCATGTCTCTACTGGTAAAGTTCTACCCCAGAGATTCTGTAAATACTGTTGTTTTTGTTTGTTTTGCTGAGAGTTCGATGAGAAGGTGAATATCTATGTCTATGCATTCAGTAAAGAGAAAGGAACAAGATAGACTCGGCTTATTAAATAAACGTCAGAATAGTCTCTGTGAGGGATATAATTAACAAAAACCTGAACCACCTTTTTATCAGTTTACAATTACATTGTAATCACAACATGTTGTTCTGCCAAGCAGTGTCTCCCTGGTCATGTTTTAAATGATAAATTGCTGTTTTAGCCATCTTTTCTACAAGTTATAGTGACAATTTACAAAATTTTTGATCCGTGGGAACATGGAGACATCACTGCAGTGAAGTCAGGTGGGGCCAGAGAAACACAAGCGGTCAGATATAATAAGTGGTAAACAAGCCAACAGATGATCCAAACCACTTTATTTGGTTAGTGAATGTCTGAAATAATCCGTCCTTGCAGGGGAAGGCTGTGTGCTTGTATAAACAGCTATATTTACTCCACTCTGTTCCTCTTCCCTCCAGACAACACCCCCCTGCGGTCCAGTCTGGTGGCCGAGTCCATTGTGGTGGAGCTGTTCAGAGAGGAGCCGGAGGAGGAGCTGGGCCTTCGCATCGTGGGGGGGAAAGACACACCGCTGGGGAACATAGTCATCCAGGAGATTGTCCGAGACTCGCTAGCAGCTCGTGATGGCCGACTGGCCCCGGGGGACCACATCTTAGAGGTGAGAGCGACTCAGAAATCCAACGAGGAAAGTCTTCATCGTATCCCGGTGGCGTAGCGTGACACTGTTCACTTAAGAATATTTTAGCATAAACACCTTGTCACTCAATTCTCAAGGCATCGTAAACACGGTGCTTTGCAGCAGGGCATGGGAGGGTAGATATTCAAGACGAACAAGTTTTAGCTCCATGGTAACAAGGCGTGGTAAATATTATTCCTGGGCCAACATGCCAGCGTAAGCAGCTCTACCCGGTTGTTGTTGTTGTTGCCACTGATCGACTTTAGCACCTTTCTGTTTGAGAGGGTTCAAACATGAAGGGGAGTTAATCTGTTGTCTTTGAACCAGAGTTATTAGGAGACTAGAGGGGCACTGTTAGAGGGCGCAATGCAGCTTCCTTAAGTGTCTTCCTTGTTTCCTTGCTACACTCGCCCACTGTAGCAACCAAGCAATAGGATTGGCCAGGTGTCCATGCTCGCCACGGTATTTGTTCAGGTCCACTGCTCTGACCAATGCCTAACCTTAACCACTTGTCTTTGCCTCAACCAGCTACACAGGGCGGGTCTTGTTAAGTAATGCAGTGGGATTCATAATTAACCCCACTTCGCCAAGTATCATGACAATCGGTTTTTACGTTTTTATTACCATATCCCAGAGCCCAATGTGACGTGTTGTTTTGTCCATCCAAAAGTCCAAATCCACAAATCTTCACTTTTCCAAGTAAGAACCTGGACTCATCAAATGTTTATCCTCGAACACATTTGTTTTCCTTCAGAGGAGAATGGAAGTGCAGAATATAGGTGAAGATTTTAATAAGTTGTGGTTTATCTTATCTTATCTCGTCCTCCTCCTTGTGTTTCTACCCTCCGGTTCTCCTGGAATGCGGTACTGCTGTAAACCGAGCTCATAGACTGTTTCAGCTTCGGCTCTGGCATCCCTGCTTCGGTGTGTCCTCCAAAATGTTGCTTTTCCTCCAAAGCCAACCGATCCCAAGCCTGGAAATGAAAACAAAAGCTGCCTTCAGGATGTGAAACATTAACTGCAGTTTTTTTTCGGCTTGGTGGAAAGCTGGTGGATGTAAAAAGATACGGCGACTCAATTGTACTCTTCCCCTTGAATCCATTTTCATGAAGGTCTAATTTCACATTAGATTTGTGAGGCATGTATCACTTTGACATGATTTATGACGATACCTTGTAACTAGTATCTGCTCTAGTTCTGATTATTCTGATCACAGTTCCTCTTTTTGGCCTGATTACAAACTAAATTACTTTATCTTGCTTCTCTGCTCAACAAAAAAAACGTTCTATATATGTACTGCAATGATTAGGCCGCTGCACCACTGACTGCTGTTTCTTCTCTCTGTCGTGTCTCCAGGTGAATGATGTCAGCCTGGCTTCAGTCCCCCACGCCCGAGCCATCTCAGTGCTCCGCCAGCCTTCCCTCCTCCGGCTCACTGTCATGCAGGAGAAAGGTTTCAAGACGAGGGATCCGCGGTCTGATCATCACGCTTCCTCTTGCATCACGTCCACCGCCTCCCAGCCCTCTCACAGTCCCCACGTCAACGCTACCTCCAATCACAACCCCGGCACGGTCCTGCAGGTGACGCTAATGAAGAGTCTGCGCACCGAACCGCTCGGCATCAAACTCATCCGCAAATCCGAAGAGAGCGGGGTTTTCATCCTGGACCTGCTGTCGGGTGGTTTAGCGGCCAAAGACGGAAAACTGAGGAACAATGACAAGGTGTTGGCCATCAATGGACACGACCTGAGGCACGGTACACCTGAGAGCGCTGCCCAGATCATACAGGTAACTACATTAACTACAAGTGACACTCTACAGCAGCAAAGACCATTTTCTAAAGCATGCCTTATGTTTAAAGACCGATTCCCTTTCTTCCAGAGTTCATTTCGTTATGTTGAAAATGTAGTTATTGCGGTAATGTAGTTGTGAGCATGAACTAGTTTGAACTCATCTGTGTTGGTGCATTTAAAGAATTACAGACAGATTTGGTTTGATAGTTGCCAGAAAGTATTGTACTGATTAACTTTGTTTCTTATTTTATATCAAACCGAGGCTGAGAAACGAAGAAAACAAACAATATGCAAACATGTACATTCTGAAAAGGATAATGTGAATTATGTAGTTAAATCATAAAAAGACGATTCGGCTGTTGTAAGTTTCCTACTACCAGCTGTTTCCCGCAAGCACTTGAATGTAGAAAAAAAGAGACTTTAAGAACAGTCACTGCTTTCAATTACTTTTGCAAAGATGTAACATTACAAAAAACAAGAAGTTGCAGCATTCATCACTTCACACAATGCAAAAGTGATCGATAAGAGCGAACAAGATGCCGACCAATGAGTCTTACAAGCAGTTGGGCGACTAATTGTACCCATGTAAGATTGTGCTGAGCGTGGCGCATTAGGAGAGCATGAGTTTACCAAAGAAATGTGCCAATTCTAGGATCTTTTGGTCTGATAGTGGCAGTAAAGGAGAGGTCACGGGGTCACCATATTCACTAAAACAATCCGCTGGGGACCATGAACACCCACAGAAAGTGTCATGGCTTTTTGGATAGTTCTGGTCCAGATATGTTGCTCAAAAGAAGAATTGAAAGATGGGTCAACATTGCCATAGACTCCACTGCTATCAGGGTAAAAATAAAGTTATAAATAAAACTATTATGATCCAAAGGCTGCCAGGAAAGTAGCCATATGTATTTGCTGTGGTATTATTTGCCTTTTGTGTGTGCTTTTAGGCGAGTGAGGTGCGTGTGAACTTTGTGGTGATGAGACCTGCAGACGCTCAGGAAGAAGGAGGCAGCAGAGAGGGACAACACAGCAGAGCAAACAGGAGGCCTGAGCCGCAGTACTTCAGGCGCCGGTCCACCTACATGAAGGTAATACAGAAAACTTCCTCGCAAACTAATCCTCAAAACTACTTTTTAAATAAAATATTTTCATCCACATTTATTTTGACCCTTGCCAGCTGTTGGCCTCTGGAATTCTAACTTCCTTTTACACCACTGACCAGCGGCCTCGCAGCACCTCACAAACGTTACATGTTTCTGTTTACACAGTGTAATTGTGACGATCGCTCCTTTGTCAGTCACACTCACTTGTACCATACACTGTCAGTAAAAAGAATAGCACCCCCCCTCCCCCCAGTTAGGGGGGAGAAGCTTTGAGAGCAGACACCTGCATCGGTGAGCGGAGATGAAAGCCCTTCTCCGGGCCTCCCTCTGTCCTGATCAAAAGGCCTGGGGTGCTGCTCACTCTGCCGCTACAGGGCCACTGTCTTGTTGTTTTTTGGTTGTTTCTTTGGGTGGCAGAGGATCAAAGCTGGTAACAGTTAGCTTTCGCCTACAGAGTCGAGCCTTTTAGTCTTGCTGGGGGGGGGGGGGGGATGGGTTCCCTGCTGGGGGGAGGAAGAGCCCCCTCCTCCCCCCCCTCCCCAAGCTTCCCCTCTGATGGTTTACAGACTCCACAGAAAAACAAGGAGGCTGGCTGAAGCTGTCATTTTCCACACATCTTGTCCACTACGAGAGCTTAGTGTTGATCCTCACACGTTACCTCCACCCTTACCTCTCAGCTCCTTCTCAAATGTTTCACATTTGTTTCTACGAGTGGTTTTGTGAGAGGAATCCATTAAGTCACAGGATCCTGGAGAGGCTCGTGTGTGTGTTTGTCAAACAAAATAAGATAAAACTGTACTTCTTGTAGAGAATTTGTGAAACATGGCCTCCCATCATTACGTAACAACTCCTTATGGTGCGTTTGTCGTTGCTTAGTATTCATTTGTTCATTGTTCCTAAAGGATCCTCCAGGTGGGTTTTCCAGCCAGGAGAAGACTGTGAGTCTGAAGAAGGAGCCTCGGCTCTCTCTGGGCATCACCATCGCCGGGGGGAGGGACTGTCGCAGCCGTCTGCCCGTTTACATCACGAGTGTGCAGCCTGTCGGCTGTCTTCACCGAGACGGCACCATCAAAAGAGGTACAAAGCGACATCTGGTGATGTGTGATTTTGACGTTGAAGGAACTCGTACTGAAAGCTTTATACTTTATACAGTTTGTCTTTGTAATGTTATTCATTTTGGAGAGGGTTACATCTAATTATTATTTTCATTATCTGTAGATTTTTTATTTTATTTAATAATTAGTCTATAAAATGACGTAAAATTGTGAAAAATGTCCGCTATATTTTGGCTTTTGTATATTTTGCGTGACCAAAGATATTCACTTCACTTCTCACATTTCAGAAGCTGGAAGCAGCACCTTTGTGGTATTTTTACTAAAATTACTAAAACTGATTTTCAAAATAGTTACCGATGAATTTTCCGTCAATCAACAAATCAATTGATCAACTAATTGTTGCAACTCTAATCGTGGCTAAATTTAAATGCACATGGAGTGTAATTCTTCATATTTGAATAAATACACTGAACTTAGTAGCTGTTCATGGGAAACCGTTTCCCATGAACATGTGCTCGACTTAGAATACGTCCACATTAAGACATTTAAATTTGTAAATGCATCCTTTCATCTCTGTTTCGTCCCTCCATCAAGACTAACACAGCGGTCTTTTAAATGGCGTTTTCTAACTTAGAAAGCTTGATTTTGACGTATACTTTGTTTTTACAACAGAGATCCTCTTAAATAAAATGTCTTTTACCATGTTCACAACATCATGTGTGCGTTTCCTCAGGCGACGTTCTGCTGAGCATCAATGGCGTCGATCTGACCCAGTTGACCTACAACGAGGCTGTTTCTGTGCTGAAGACTCAGACAGCTCAGTCCCAGGTGGCGCTCCGTGCCATCCAGACCCTCTCAGAGGACTCGGAGGAGGACGCCGAGGCTGCCAGCAAGGACGAACTGGACGCTGTGGACGACCCACGAGACGACGCCCTCAACTGGACACCACTGTGGACTCGCTGGCTGGGATTACCAAGGTAGAGCCTGAATTCTGTTCCTCCACTTCAAGTGCATTCACTTAATTTGGATGTGAGAGACTCTGACTGTGCCTTTGTTCGTCTCAGCCCCATGCACTGGTGCCGGGACATCGTCCTACAGAAGACCAACAACGAGAGCTGGGGCTTCAGTATCGTCGGCGGCTACGAGGAGAGCCACGGCCAGCAGCCTTTCTTCATCAAAACCATTGTGCCTGGTACACCTGCTCACTTCGACGGACGCCTCAAGTAAGTGAAGCCCAGTTCGACTCCCACACGACACGTAATCAGCTCCGGCATCCTTTCATCCCTCTCAACATTAACGGTCTGTGGTTCCCTCCAGCTGCGGCGATGAGATTGTGGCGGTGAATGGAGCCACAACGGTGGGAATGAACAACTCCTCTCTCATCCCCATGCTGAAGCTGCAGAAGAATAAAGTCACACTGACTGTGGTGTCCTGGCCTGGGAGTCTCGCGTAGCAAAACACACCTGCACATTCACTCTCTTTTCTTTCCGTCACCCTCGTTAATTGTTCACATGATACTCGCCCTGTTCAGCTGCATTCTTCACCGGGGCGCTCACTGTCGCCTCCCGTATGTAACTCTTCGTTCGGTTGCGTTGATGTTCCTTCTGTGTAATACAGAAGACGTTCGCTAAAGAACCATCCTGTGTACAATAGAAATGACTCTCCCAAGCTCGTTTGAAGCAGGCTGTTTGTTTCAGTGTCCTCTCACACTCAAAGGGCAGATGTTTGCACAAAGTGGGATTAATCAGGGTGCAAAAATGATGACAATCAGTGAGCTATATTCTATGGACAAACTGGAAGGATGGTTGTTGAGTACTTCATGTATTTCTTTGCTTTCCTGTTAAATAATAATACGATATATTTAGACAGTTGAGATGAAGAATTATATATATATATATATATAGTGGACTACATATATATATATAGTGGACTACATATATATATATATATATATATAGTGGACTACATATAACAAAAATGGTTGCTGATGTACTAGACTCATGCCAAAGACAGAAGAATCATCCTGTCCTGTAGCTTTTATACCACTAGTGTGATTTTATCAACTTAATTTACACTTTTAAAATGTGCATCAGAATGATGAAGCAATGACGGAATTCAGTTAAATTGAGTCAAAGTGACATTAAGGGTAAAATCAACAGCTGCCGCTACAAAAAGAGACTTTGGTTTAACAGGGAGGAAACCGGCAGAGAGCATTTAATCAGAATTGGCCCGGGTTTATTAGCGAATTCTGCAACAGGAAATAAACTTTTATATTGTTGTTTAAAACTGTGAGCTGGTCTATAGAAGCATTATATAATACTGAATGACTTTGATGAGCGTGTGCCTTGTAGATATTGAAGGACAAACCAGAATGTATACTAGCCTTAAATTTCCACTGTACCAAAATGTGTTTCCCATCATTGTTCCCTCACAAACTGAATTTCAAAGGACAACAGCTTTGTTCAGATAAATGTGTGTTACCTCGTTCTTCTTTGTGTCAACACGTTCCCTGTGGCCTTTCTTGTGCATCAATTGAGACGAGACTTATTGAATTCAGAATTTGTTTTTCGAGACTGGCAGTGGAATACAGTGTATACAGTTGGTAATGTGTGTATTAGCCCGTCCACTGTTTTATTATGTTCAATAAAATCAGAACAAATCATGCTGTTCTTCTGTTTGTTGTGGCGTATCAGATCAAATATTTCAGATTCACAATTTGTTCCTGAAGTATCCGTAAAGTGGTAAATAAACGTACATATTTGAATATAAATGTTACTGGACTTCACAAGCTGCTATTGGTTCCAGTCTCATAATGGGCAGGGACATCAGAGGGGTTTTGTAGCTACGCCATGTTCTCTGGTAAAATACATATTCATATAATGAACTACAGGACGAGTCAGAAATGTCTAATAAACTGTACATGTTTAGTACATGTTAGTCTGTTCATGGCTCAGTCTGACACCTAGTGGACACAAACTGTATAGAATACAGAAGTAACCCAGGTTTTTACTGAGTTTAGTCTCAATATGAAATGTTTTTTCACATTCAACTTTTGCTCAGCAGTCATGTGTACATTAAAAATGGCCAAACTTGCACAACATCTGGGTACAAAGACTGTTATGGATTAAATAAGACAATGGTGGTTCAGAATGGCTACAATGTTTTTACAATCTCTCTCTCTCTCTCTCACACACACACACACACACACACACACACACACACACACACACACAC